TAACGGTAGAAAGAAATATTCTGATCAATTTTTTTTAACGTTTATTTATTTTTGAGAGAGAGAAAGAGAGAGACAGAGCCTGAGTGGGGGAGGGGCAGAGAGAGAGGGAGACACAGAATCCGAAGCAGGCTCCAGGCTCCGAGCCATCAGCACAGAGCCCGATGCGGGGCTTGAACCCACGAACCGCGAGATCGTGACCTGAGCCGAAGTTGGACGCTCAACCGACTGAGCCACCCAGGCGCCCCCATTCTGATCAATTTAAAATCAGCTTTCTGATCGGAGTGGAAAGCACAGCGACAGTTTGGGATTCTGTGAGTTGGCAGCAGTTACGAGCTCTGTGAGCCACTGCGCTGTGCTCAGAACGCCAGCGGCTGTGGGGAAGGTGCCCTGTAGGCCGTCTTCCCTGAGCTCAGCCACAGATGGTTGTCGGAAGGGCTCTGTGTGCAGTAGTCCTGTGGTCTCCAGTGTTTATTGTCAAGTGTCGTCACTGATGCTTCGTGTGTGTCTCAAATGTCAGCTTTCTCTGACAGAGGATCAGGTGAATATGTATTTAAAACGTGAACATTTCTTTAATGGAATAGTCTCATCTAGGAAGAAACTAGAAAGAAAAACCATAAGAAAGAAACAGAGTCAGAAGCAACGTAAAGAAGAGTATGAGACGGCAAGAGCACGAGAAAGAATTCTCTGTCACGGAACCTTAGAGATGGTGATTGTGGTGGTCAGAATAATAGCCCCAAAAGGTATCCATGTCCTAATCCCCAGAACCTGGGCATATGGGACCTTCCTTGGCAGAATGGACTTGGAAGATGTGACCCACACTAAGGACCTTGAGATGGGGAGATGATGAGCTGCAGACCTTTTTTGGCTGTGGTCAGAGGGAGGGGGCTGCAGTAAAAGGGTCGGACGCAACCCTGCTGGCTTTGAACATGCACGGAGGGGCCTCTAGCAGCTGAACAAGGCCAGCCTGGAGCTTCCAGAAAGCAGTGCATCCCTGCTGACACCTTGATTTTAGCCCAGGGATTCCCATTTCGGACTTAGGATTTTACAGAACTGAGAAGCTAGCATTTGTGCTATCTTAAGCTCGGAAGTTTGTGGTTGTTGTTATGGCCGTAGTAGGGAGTAGATGGACACAGGTGTGCTTTGTCTCGGGGGACTTTGGGGCCGACTTCTGGGTGAGCGCTGAACCGACAGGAGGAAGGTAGTGCTGTTGGAGAGCAGGATTCGGATCTCCGCACCTTGTTTGCGGTAACTGAATGACAGTGAGGCTCCTCCCGTGCAGGTGGGATCAGAGGACAGAGCACAGAGAACAGTTGGTTTCCTTGAGGTAAAGAGCATCTGAAAGAGAGACACAGAAAAATAACCGCATTGTAACAAACAAATCAGCAGTGATGATTGCACTTGGTGACTCCTGGCAGGAAGTGAAGTGCGCTGGTAAGAACAATGTGTGTGGCTTTAGATCTCTCCTCTCGTGATAGAGGTCTTGCAAATGACAGTGGGGAGACAGCTAGACATGTAGCCAGTTCCCCGCACACTGGACAGGCCACTCTCATGCGTGTGTCCAGCACCTCCCTCCTAGACTACGGCTTTGGAGGCAAGGGTTCTGTCGTATCCATCATTGTAGTGCTGCTGCCATGCGGACTAGGTGCACACATGCTCACTGATCCAGGGAGGGAACGAACATTCATGAGTGAATGAACACGAAGGAAGGTCTGCAGGACTTCTTTCAACCAGTGGAAAGGTCATTGCTTCTTTCCAGAACACTGTCCAAAAGATAGGTGACCAAGTTGAACCCGGCAAAATCGTAAAAAGAACTTTTAGAAATGAAACCACAGACTCATCTCACTAGTGTGTAATCAAGGACAACAGTGAAATGTCCCCCACCTTTTGTGGTCCATCACACTGATAAACATTCAAGATTGATTTCATCCAGCATCGGCATGAGGTGAAGGACAGTCTCTAATGTTATGTGCCAAGTATAATTGATATAGTTTCACTGGTTGACAGTTTGTCCGTACTTACCAGATGTCACACGTTACGTAGCTTTTGACCCAGGGCGTCTGTTTCTGGGTGTTGTTTCTGCACGTGTGTGATGCCAGCTTCAAGCACGTTCACAGCAATATTGTTTGCATGCCCACTCCCCCTGACCCCCCAGAGCTGGGGAACCCACAAGAACTACCCACCAGTAGTAGAATGGCTCTGTCTGCTGAGTGCTGTATGTTTCTGATAAGATAGAAGCACAGTACAGACACTGGCTTCTTTTATTTTCATCCTTAAGAAGAATTCTTTTCCTGTGAATATCTAATGTGAGAATTAATCAGGAACATTACGTATTTCCAAGTTCTGGGATAGGATACCGATGAGCAAACGGCCTTTTCAAAGTAGTGAAGTGTGGATAGGATTGTCATGGGACATCAAAGTCAGGATGAGAAATTTAAATTTAGTTCAGCTGCCGTTAGGGGTATATTACAAATCCTTGTCCTGTTATCTCCCTTGAGACAGTCACTTTTCTAAATACACGTTTTCCAGAAATAATATATGCATACATTTCCATATGGTAGCAGGGTAGGTTTTTCTGAGTGTGCATTCGTTACTAAATGCTTAGTTCTAAAAGTTGTTTTTCAGTTATCCAGAACCAGATGTTTGGTTCTCAAAATTATCTAAGTTACTGAGTGTAGGTACTGAGCATCAAATGTGTAAGTCCTTTTATATTCCTAACCTTGGCTGACATTTAGACTGAGTCCGCGATGAGATTTACAGGAGTTCTAGAGAAATAGGATAGAACACAATATGGGAGCATAATAAAAAAGCAAAACATGAAATAGAAGTGTCTGTGTGTTTATTGCTTTTAATTTTCTTAGTGGAAAGTGAAGGCTACAACTTGTTTAGGGTGGAGGTCCTACGGGATGGGAGCTCTTCGTTACACAGAAGCAAACCGGAAGTCATTCTGGGTGTCTTCAGGTAGTGTGATCGAGTGAATGGGCTGAAATTGCGTCTGTCCCGTAAAACTCCAGATTGGGAGCCGGCTTGTGCCCTGGGCTCCACACTTCTGGACTAGGTGTGTCCACGCTGGCCTCCCTGCAGGTGGATGCCCGTGTGCCCTGTTTCCTGATAGGTCGCCAGGGTAACCTTTGCTGGGGCTCGTCAGGGAAGGCGCCCAGGGAGGGCGGGATCTCTCCCCGGGGTTGATGGCACAAACAGCGGTAGGAACCGGCGTGTGTCTGGAGGGGAAGGATAGACCTGCCGAGACAGATGGTCGGGAACAGAGAGGAACCTGAACCAGGGCCCTAACAGGAGAGCAGTGGCTCTGGAATCTGGTAGCAGCGAGCTGCCACGGACTGACGAGAGGACGTGCTAAACCTGAGCCTTAGAGAGGGCAGCTGGTGTCGCTGTGCCCTTGGTAGCAAATGGGCAGAGCTGGGACCGGGACACAAAGCGCCTTTGTGGGAATTTGAAAGAGGCGCCAGCTCCCGTCCTGTGCAGCAGGGACTCGTGTGTCGGCAAGGGGAAGCTGAAGAAGTTGCCTCTGAGAGAACTGCTGGAAGCCGATGTCCCACCCCTGATTGCGCGCAAGATGTGGCGACCAGAGGGCCGGCTGGATTTCGGCTCCTGCTGCCCCCTCGGCTGGGCACCCCTGGCAGCACAGGCGGCAGCGTCCTTCACGGTGGCCCCATCACAAACTCCAGGCCTTGAATCCGAAAGCCAGGAAGGACATTTTTGCCTCTTGCAGTTTTGCCCAGAGTTCTTTAGGCTGCACGCGGTCTTCCTGTCCCCAGAGAGCGTGTCTTCTTTATGGAGCGACCTCCAGCCCAGGCCTCTGTGCATGCTTTCTCCCCGATGACACGTTTCCTCCTCCCTACCATTCTCCCGTGCCTGATACACAACCTTCTCCCGGGAGCCTGGCCACGGACAGGTGCCACCTGTTGCCTTTGGTGTGGACGCACTGCGTCCTTGATGGGTTTTGCATATAGTGTGTGTTCATTTTGTCTTCTCGTGAGTAGGGATAGGAACATCCTTATTTGTATTGTCAACAGCATCATGCTTTAATATAGAAACGCTTAGTGTGTGTAGGAACTTTGAAGATGTGTCTCATGTTGTAAGTAGTGTGATACCTTCCGTTAATTGCTAATCTTTAAAAACCATGCTGATTTTCTCGACCAGTGATTTTCACGTTAATGTCGGCATCATTCAACATTAACTGTGAGTGGCCTGGAGCACTGAGAGGATCGCAGTGGGCTGTGATTAGCACACCCTCGTGTGGGGGCAGCACATGGCCTCTGTTACGTTCCCACGCGTGCCGTCCATGTTCAAACGTGTACACGTGGACTTCCACACTGTGCGGGTACAGGGCAAGACTCGGGCTGCCCCCTCCCTTTCCCTAGTTTAGGATAAGCTTCATCTTTGGGCAGCCTTCCTGTCTGAAGTCATGGAGTGTTAGGTTTCAGCGGCTCTTTGAGAGGTCGGTAGCAGATCGGGTAGGCCCGATTTTGAATAACTTCACAGATATCATCGGTATTGTCAGAAATGTGGCCTTCGTCATATGTCCTTAAATGTGTTTCTTAAGAAATGACATTAGGTTGCATCTGGTCTAGAGCAGTATGCCGTCCTGGGCTCAGAAAGTGGAACCCGTCCTCGGGCCTAGTTATCAGCAGTCACACCCAGAGGGCGGGTGGGACACATTGTCAGGTTTGGG